AATAACGTAACACTGCCAAACACCACAATGACAGCGGACTTTAGGGGCTTCTGTTCTGTGTTGTTTAACACTTAACTCTTAATCAACAGCCTAAATCATGGTTAAAAGTTAATGAGTGATAACTTAAACAATGTTATTTAGTTATGCTGGTTCAGAAGCTCTCTGTCCGACTGACACCTCGTCGGGCATTAACTCGTATACTTTGTGGTGTCACCTCTATACAGTTAATGGGAAACTAATGCAAACACCAACCTGTTGCTCTTGCTTTGTCTTACTGTCTGCGCCCGCGACTCCTAACCTGACCGGACCTGATCCATTGAAACAAGCGTGAGCGAGAGTAACGTGCAGAGTTGCGGCAAGGTTAAGATGGTATGGTCCACTATAGGGGTGTCTGAAATGATTGGGAAACGTATTTACAGGTCAGAAGGATATATAAATGTTTTGAGCCCCCCAAAATGTTTTTCATTACCTTTTTTTTCGACCTTTTAAAAAAAGAAAATCTTTTTTTTTTGAAGGGGACACTAAATATTGGGGGGGACATCCCCTGCGTCCCCCCCGAAATCTGAGTGATGAGTGAGTGAGTGTGTGTGTGTGTGTGTGTGTGTGTGTGTTGGAGGAAAAAGAGCAGCGAGCCTGGTTTGTGAACTTTTTAATAAATAAACTGGAAACAAGTTTCCAGAACATAAAGCACTTGTGCGACATTCGTGTGTTACAAACAGGTGCATTCAGGCCGAAGGTTGGCGAGGAGTTTCAAACGCTGCTGCTCGCCAAACGGCTGAACGTGTGAACTCTTCTTCTAATCAAGTATTTCAAATGCAGGTTCAGAGTGGGACTCCTGTGGTCCACGTCCTGGTTTTGATTCTGCTCACAGACGGCGTGGCCTCTCATACGTCCCGACTGACGTCTGAAGGTTGAAGTGACCAACAGTAAAAAGCGGTGTACGAAAACACGTTTAGCTACAGCAGATGAGTTCTAACCCATCGAAGGCGTCGCGACACCCGGCTTCCTCCAGACGGCCAATCACGTCTGGACGTGGAGCTATGACAGATCAGCCACCGATCAAAACAAAAAGAGCGCCTTTTTGGCGTGTACACGACACGTTAAAGGAACAGTTACACGCTTTGAGCCGTGAAAACCTGTACACCGAGAAAAGATTGCACGCCACTCTGGTCTCTATGCGTTAAGAATTTGAACTTCAATACGATCAAATCTAATGAGATCTATAACTTTTAACTATAAGATTTATTTTTGGGCCTTTAATGGAGAGATATGATGATAAGAGTCAGAAATCAGGGAGAGAGAAGGAGTGGGGAGTGACATGCGGGGAAGGAGCCACAGGTGGGATTCGAACCCGGGCCGCCTGCTCGGAGGACTGCAGCCTCTGTACATGGGGCGCGCGCACTAACCACTGTGCCACCAGCGCCCCGAATCTGCTGATTAATAGACGTCTCTTTCCCAACATGAACTAGAGAGAAAAAGTCTGTTTGGACCCAACGGCATCGCGTGGCGCCGCAATACCAGGTTTGGCCACCATGTAAATTTGGCTTCAATGGTCGGCGCACTTCCCGGAGGCTGGCTTATTCAACACAGCCGAAACCGTAAATATGTGTTTGGTAAAGTCTGAACTGAGTGTGCATCACTTTTTATTTTTTCAAACAGAGCTTATCATTTCACAGAGCGCCATCAATCGTTCCATGTGGCGCTCTAGAAGAAAGCGACTTTATAGCGATTTAATAACTGTTCCTTTAACGCTGCTGAAGTCAGTTTGGTTTCCTTGGAGGGCGGAGCTTAATAGCATACTGAGAAGAAAAGACCACCAAGGACACTTCTAATACAGAAACAACAGCTGTCCTGTTAATGCTGAGATTTTCTTCTTAATACTAAGAGTCCACTGGCACTTATTTAGAGATTCAGTCTCGGCTGTCCTTGGTGTGCTTTTTTTTAAATGCAAACACGCTAAGGCATAAAACAATGTTGTCTAAAAAAAGGTCTAAAGCTACTAAAACCAGAGACATTCAGTTTGTTCTGTTGAAGTAAAAAAACTTAAATAATTGCATAAATAAAGCGTGTGATTAGCAGAGTCCTGTACAGGCGCTGGATGCACGGATTATGTAAGAGTACATATATAATGTAGGTTACATCATAGAGTTGCAGTATTGAGGTAAATTCATAGTACAGGAGTAAAGAAAGGGGGGGGGTGGCACCTGAAGTGCGGTGGGCTCAGTGAAGAAGCCACATAAACATGCATGAGACAGACGTGTGAACGAGGTGTTCGTGTGTTCGTCCCTTTTGTTCCAATCATTCAAGTTTTACAAAAATCGCTCCGATAAAGCGTCGATAATACTGACAAGTTTAAAATGATATTCATCACATGACACAGTCCGTACTAGGCTCCTCCTCTTCCTGGAGCCAGGCGGTGTCAGGGGAGTCAGGGAAGGGGCGGGGCTTGGAGGGGCGAGCCGTTTCAGGGCAGCAGATGTTGCAGCGTTGCATCATCGAGGTCATTGACGGAGACGATGTTATCCAGGTGTTGAAGGTAACGCTCCTGGTCTCTCATGAAGTGCGGGATTCTGGTCCTTTGGAGGGACGCCAGGGGCCGCAGTCGCTCCACGTCTTCGAAAGACACCTGCACAGGTGAGGAGGAAGGTTTATACACACAGACGCAGCTACTGCTCCAGCTGAAGACAGGAGCGGAATAAGTTTCCCTGCAACTTATTTGCAAGTCAGTATCACAATGTTTGGTTGACTGAATTGTTTTTGGCGTAATGTTTTGTTCTTAGTCTCCAAATGATTATTATTAAATCCATGAGGCGTAACAGTAAACGGTAGCGATGTTCCTAGCTAACTGGATTTTTTGTCTTTTCTAAAGGTAAGAAAACACATGCAGAAAACTGTCAAAATCAAGCACAACTTATTTAAAATTGTCGGCCAGTAAACAATGTCATTTGGGAAAGGGTTAGTTCAGTGAGCCCAGGAAAGGTCCATGCAGAATGCCACTTCTGTATCACAGTGTGTCGTCACTTTCCTGCGCAATTAAATTTTCAACCAGTGTAAATAAGTCTCAGAGCTCCCCAAAACATGTGTGTGAAGTTTCTTGTTCTAAATCCACTCTGATCCTGTATTTGATCATGCCTATAAACCCCTCTATTTCAGCCCTGCTCAGAACAGGCTGTTTCTGTGTTTGTACCTTTAAATATGTAAATGAGCTGTGTCTGACCACGCCCCCTCTCTGGAAGGGCTTGGGTGTCTCAGGCTTTCTCGCTCCATGTCCTATTGTTTACGGTGAGAAGGCAGACTCAGGGCAGAACAAACACCTAGCTGTGGGAGTGTCACCCACCTGGGGAGGGGCTACTGCCCTTTGTGATGTCATGAAGGGAAAATCTCCAAACGGCTTGTTTGAGCACACATTTTCTGAAAAGTGGAGCAGGCAGAAGACAGAGAGGATGGACTTTTCTCATCATTGGGGGGTTTGTAGACAGAGTAGAGACACATGTTAGTGTTAGAGGAACATGGGGAAGTGGATTTTGTATTATATGTGACCTTTAAGGACACAGTATGTAGATTAGGCTGTCAGGGGGCTCTCAACTTATACTAAAATAACAAAAGACAACATTGTGTAATGTTGTATCTTTAGTGCATTTTAATTTTAAATTAGCTTTTTCATGTGAGCCTTGATCACGGTCGCTTCCATCGAGATTTGCATTTAAAAACACCTGAGGCTGTCGAGGTCATGAAGGGTCATATTTAAAGGTGCTGACACTGACCTTCCCTAAAGAAGTCAACATCTTGAAGTCGATGTTTCGTCGATGTCGAAGGATTCGGAGGATCCCGTCCAGGTAAACCTGATCTTTACTGAAGCAACCTGACACACAGACAAACAACAGAAAACACAATGATGATGACACGCTCGTTCTGTCTCGTTTTCTTAAGTGTGTCACGTTCTTCTTCTTCATTGGATTTACTGGCGGGCTACGCTGTGTCACGCTTGACATGGCTATCGCAGTCCGGCTTACAACCCGCACAACCAAGTAAGGGTACGTTTGGCTGTGGAAACGCTAATAAGATCAGGGATTACTGTACCAAGCTGAACCAAGCTGTACTGACCCGTACTGACCCAAACTGAACCAAACTATAGCCCCGTTTCCAGCAAGCGGTCATATTAAGTTCAGTTTGGTACGGTACCCATTTATTGGCCTTTCCATCGTCAAAAGTTGGGAGAATGGTCCCAAAATAAGGGATACATAAGCTCACACCCCGCCTTCCAAGTAAGGGTTTGGTTGGCTGTGGAAGCAAGAGCAGGGTTTACAAGTGTGTGTGTGTGTGCTCACCTGGCTGTGAGGTGTCCGCCTGGCCCCTCTTGGCCCTCAGGCAGTACTCCCAGCGGACGTCTGGGTCCTGGACGAAGCGTGCGATGTGTCCGAAGAGCTGGCTGAAGCTCATGCTGGCGGCATGGAACACTGTGTAGTACAGCAATGCCGCGCGCCACAGGTACGGCTGTTTCCGTAGCAACACGCTGTGCAGACTCGCCAGGCCCTCCTCCGTGGGATTGGCCGGTTTGAGACCAAACTGCTTCCTGCCTTCGGAGGAGGCCCAGGGCTGCAGGCCGTTGTTCACACCGCGCAGGTAATGAGTTCCTGAGGAGAGGACACTTTGAATTGATGAGATGGAATCATATATTCACTGTCATGTTTCAGTTTTGGCACCATCTTTATTTATCAGTTTGTTATTCAGGTTGGGTCATTTCCTCTGTGGATCCAGGAAGTAAATCTATTCTCGCCTTTTAAACAACCTTCTGCTGGATCTTATAAACTGCAGTCGAGCTCAACAACTTCATCTGATAAAGGAAATCTCTCCCAGTGAGAGACATTCAATCAACCCCTTAACTTCACCTCCGTTCTTAAATTTTAAGTCTCTACTTATTGTGTCTGGTCCTCTCCTAAAATTGTGTGTGTGTGCGTGCGTGCGTGCGTGCGTGCGATGAAGGTGAGCAGTCGTACCGATCTCGTGCCTCAGCATCCCCTCCAGCCAATGCTGCCGAGCCCCCGACAGGTTGATGGTCAGAGTGGGACGACAGCTCTCCACCACCATCACGGCCTGAGACAGCAGCTCGTCAGAGAGACGCACCACCACCTGTACAGACACACCTTCATCATTACCATCATCATCACCATCACCACCATCATCATCACCACCATCACCACCATCATCATCATCATCACCATCACCACCATCATCATCACCATCATCACCATCACCACCATCACCACCACCATCATCATCATCATCACCATCATCATCATCATCACCATCATCACCATCACCACCATCATCATCACCATCACCACCATCATCACCATCACCACCATCATCACCACCATCATCATCATCACCATTATCATCACCATCATCACCACCATCATCATCACCATCATCACCACCATCATCATCACCATTATCATCACCATTATCACCATCATCACCACCATCATCATCACCATTATCATCACCATTATCACCATCATCATCACCATTATCATCACCACCATCATCACCATCATCACCACCACCATTATCATCACCATCATCACCATCACCACCATCATCGTCATCATCACCATCATCATCATCATCACAACCATCATCATCACCATCACCACCATCATCACAACCATCGTCATCACCATCACCACCATTATCATCACCATCACCACCATCATCACAACCATCATCATCACCATCATCATCACCATCATCACATCATCATCACCACCATCATCATCATCATCATCATCACCATCATCATGACCATCACCATCATTATCACCATCACCACCACCATCACCACCATCATTATCACCACCATCACCACCATCACCACCATCATCATCATCATCACCATCATCATTATCATCATCATGACCATTACCATCATCATGACCATCACCATCATTATTACCATCATCATCGTCACCATCACCATCATTATCACCATCGTCATCATCATCACCATCATCATTATCACCATCACCATCATCATGACCATCACCATCATTATCACCATCATCATCGTCACCATCACCATCATTATCATCATTATCACCATCGTCATCATCATCACCATCATCATGACCATCACCATCATTATCACCATCATCATCGTCACATCATCATCATTATCACCATCATCACCATCATTATCACCATCATCATCATCATCACCATCATTATCACCATCATTATCACCATCATCACCATCATCATCACCACCATCATCATCATCATTACCATCACCATCATTACCATCATCATCACCATCATGACCATCACCATCATTATCACCATCATGACCATCACCATCATTACCATCATCATCATCATCACCACCATCACCATCATCATCATCATCAGGAACACTTTTTAACCCTTATAAGCCCCGCCCCTTGCATGTGATTCACAGGAACAGGACCTGATAGAGCGCCATGTTTGATCAGAAACTAGTCATTTCAGAGAGAAACCAAACTTCAGGATGAAGAGAAAACAAAAGCAACATTAAGAGCAGACCTGCACAGGTACTGAGTGTTATTATGAATCATTAACTGAACGTTGGAGCAGGATGTTACTGTGAGAGCGGCTGCAGGTAAACACAATCAACCACCTGTCAGATTTACAGCCTGCTTCTTCTGAACTGGACTGTTGGACTGCTTCAACAACAACCAATCAGAACGCAGGGTTTACAGTGTTACCATACATTTTATTACCGACAAGGTGACACTAAACTCTTTCACAATCAATGCGTCACGTCTCTTAAAATCCACAGAATCCTTTCAGCAGAAGGAATAACTGAAGTTATGATAAATATATCTCTAACCATCTTTCAGGAGATTCCTCACATTCACACTGAAGGTGACAAACTGTTAATTTCGTTAACGGTATAATATGATAATACATCTTTGGGAATAAAGAGGGAGTGCAAAAGCTGGAAGAGAAGATGCACACATCTTTTGACTATGGATGAGCTCCCTGATAAAAATAAAATTATAAAAAATACAAAAAAAACTTTACGACAGAGTATTAGGCCACGTTAAAGAAAAATGTGACTTTTTGATCCAGTAGATGTCGCCCTTGAGCTCCAGAATGAAACTAAAACAAACTGCAGTTTGGCCACACCTCCTCCATACTGAAGCCTCCGCTCTCCTCCAGAGACACACCTCCAACCCGTCTCCACTCAAGTTCACACGAAGGAGTTATCAATTAAGCATCACCATAATTAAGCACCAATAAAAGCAAGAGGCGGACTAAACTGTCCTCTTCACGTTGCATGTAAACAGACACAGAATGAGCGTGATCTAAAAACTCTTACTAACATCCAAATAATCAGTGAGTATGTTCTTCTTCTTCTCTCTAGTCTTGACTAAAACACCTTTTATACTCAAGGGGAGGAGCCGGCCGTCCTGTCCATGTAAACACGGCTCTGATAACAACACAGCCAGCAGGACTCGAGCTTCTCCCTCATTGTAGACAGTCATGACTCAGAGACACATTTACACAGGAGAGACTGGATTTATTTATGTGGAACATGTTGCACTTTTTTCCTTTAAATGAAAAAAGAATCTTAAATCTCCCGATTAAAGGAAAAAATGTACGAGATTAAAGTTGTTCATTTACAAGGATAAAGTCATAAATGGATTTAAATGAGGCTACGGTTAAAATTAATATTCTGAAAGGTTGTAAAGCAGCCATCCGCCTGTGTGAAAACAATGAAAGAAGACTCCACAAAGACTTTTCCTCTGAAGAGACATTTCCCTCCACATATATCTACACAGTTCTACAATTCACTTAGCAGACGCTTTTTGGATCTCATGTGCCCAGCTCTGGTTACCTTATCAGGCTAAGACTTCACTTCATAAAGATGTATAAAAAGTATTTTAACAGGTTCAATCTGGAGCCCTTCTATTCTTAAATATACAGTATGGTCTTTACGGTTTTAAAGCGTTAGTTCATGCAGGACACTGAGGTCATACACCAAGCTAGAGGCTACATGTTAACACAACTTCTGTCTCACTGATCTCTTCTACATTAACGCTGCTCACACTCTGCTGCTGCAGGAACAGCTTAGCCTCCACCAGCAACCAGCCGCCTACTTGCTGCTTTAAGCCTTTGGCTCCCCCTTGTGGTGGGGTTTATCACTGCGCTCCATGGAGAGCTGAGGCTTTGTGAAAGAAACCTTTGAGCAGAGCCTTCAACACCAAGCACAACTGTATGTATGGTTCAATTTATGAGGAGGGTTCCTGACTGAAATGTGTTTATGAGTTTATAAAAAAACAGTGTTGCTCACACATACTCTGTGGGACACTTTAAAGGTCACATATTCTCCTCCTCCTCTTCAGTGTAAATAAGTCTCAGAGCTCCTCAAAACATGAGGTTAAAGTTTCCTGTTCTAAATCCACTCTGATCCTGTATTTGATCGTGTCTATAAACCCCTCTATTCCAGCCCTGCTCAGAACATTTGTTTCCTATTGTTTACGGTGAGAAGGCAGACTCAGAGGGCAAAACAAACACCTAGCTGTGGGAGTGCCATCCACCTGGGGGAGGGGCTACTGCCCTTTGTGATGTCATGAAGGGAAAACCTCCAAACGGCCTGTTTGAGCACACATTTCCTGAAAAGTTTCATCAATTATTAGAAGCGAAAACATGAATCGAAACACAAAGATGCAATAAAATTCAGAAAACATTTATTACAACGCAAAAACTTTCATGAAGTTTAAAAACGGAAAGTAAACGAGATGAAGCACAAAACTCAAAAACATGAAACCGTGATTATTAAAATCTGTAATCCTGGATTCTCTGGTGGTGCGTTCGTGTGTGTGCTGCGCTCTCACCTCTCCCACACATCCTTCTTTCTGAAGATACTTTCGAACAGCCGCCCAGATCTGACTTTTCGGGAGGACGCTGCCGCCCGTCACCTCTTCAAAGTTCTCATAGGAGTCAAACTTTCTGAGGACGCACTCCATGATCCCCACCGCCTGCAGGTCGAGAGGAAACCATCATCACCATCATCACCATCAACACCATCATGTGATGTGTGTGTGTGTGTGTGTGTGTGTGTGTGTGTGTGTGTGTGTGTGTGTGTGTGTGTGTGTGTGTGTGTGTGTGTGTGTGTGTGTGTGTGTGTGTGTGTGTGTGTGTGTTTTGCACCTGTTCGAGGAAGAGTCCGGCGCCGTCTCTGTACTTGTCCAGCACGCTCCGTGGCTCCGGCTGAGCGTACTCAAACTGAGGCTCGTACTTGTAGTCTGACAGGAAGAAGGTCTGCTTCTCTTGCTCCAGGTTCAGAGGTCGGAGCGCCACCAACAGACACGGCCGGGTGGGTGTGGGTAGCGTCCCGCCGCCCATCCCTTTGGCTATGTGTGGCAGGGAGGTGGCAGGTCTCATTTGCCCCCGGCCTGCTCGCAGCCCGATGGGGTAATTGACGGAGCAGGTGCTCCCACTGCGGCGCATCCAGCCCCCGGTGCCCAGGCTGGGGCTGGTCAGGCTGCGGGCAGGGGGCGAGGGGGCGGCTGAGCCACTGCGCCACGGGGGCTGCACCACCCGCCTGTCGGCCATCTGCTCCCGTGACCCACGCAGGTAGTGGGGGGTCATCTCGAGGCTGAGGGGGCGTCGGAGGGGCGGTCTTGATGATGCAGATGATGATGACCTCCTGGGCAACGCATGGCTGCTTCCTGTCTGAACAGGAAGTCCGTTGAGAGACAACTTCTCCTTCTTGGCGACATCGCTCCTCTTGGCCGGCGGTCTCGGCTTGGCGGTGCTTTTGTTCGGATCGGACCGCTCCCTGCTGCTCCCGACAACCTCTACCTGATCCATGAAGACCTCACCTGAGTCCAACACCATCACCACAGCAACCACGCCTCAGGCTCCACCTTCCTCCTGCCCCGACGCTGTGGACAGAACCGACAGGTGAACATTTACCTGTGAGGGAGAGAAGAAGAAGAAGACACACAATGAGCTCACACCTGAGTAAAGATGTCAGACTGAACAAAGCTCTGACTGTATGTTACATTAACGAGGTTCAGTGTGAATAAAGAAAACACATCCATGAGCCTCAGCAGTGATTCATTGTGAACAGGAATCTCTGTTCTTCTCTCTCAGCATCTTTAAACTCTCACAAACTCACCAGTCAGCGGGTCCCGGGACGTCTGCGGAGGATTTCAGCCTCTTCATCCGCTCTCAGCTCCCCGCAGACCGGGCAGAGGAGCTCCGTGTTTCCCGGCACGAAAGTGATGACAAGCGGATAACGGTTCAGTGTGTGGCGGGGCCTGAGGCGGCTGCCTGGGCCGGCCAGGAAGCGGCGGATGTGTTGGAAGAAATGACGCGGCACGCTGCGTACGCCGGGAATGACGCGCCCCTTTCGTCATTACGTACAACTGGATGTTAACTGAAAGATGTTAAAATTATAAATATATTTTTAGATTAAAGAGCATTTATGAAGAACAGACCGCATGGGTTCACATTGACGTTATCATTATTCTAAAATATATCAATTAAAAAAAATCTACATTTTCTAAACGAGGATATTTCACGGTGATTGTGGCAACAAATCAACCGACACCTTGAAAACTCAAAGATTACTCTCTCTGTCCCTTTTTATTTATTGTTACCTTTATTCAAACCTATTTTTGATCTTTTGGGAAGTTTGTGTTGTCTACTTTGTATTTATTAAAGTAGACGAACGTCAGAGAGATGCTGCATTCAGGTGCTCCTCGGTGGTCTCAGTTTCGGTGAATGTCGTAACAACAACAACAACAACAGCAACAACAACAACAACAACAACAAACAGCGTGAACGCTACGAAGAAGAACAAGTGTGAATGTCTCTGTTACAAGTTATATTTGAGCAAAAAGCTGATGTGCAACACATGTATTCATAAAAAAAATCTTTTAACATTTACAAAACATCTTCAGCCCGCCATGTTGATGACGATTCTGACGTCAAGACGGCAACTCAAGCTCCTAATTCTTTACCGAGTTGTTGCTCCGACTTCAGCAGGCGTTCATGGGCATTTTACAACTAAGAAACTCTAGTTTTTCCGACACCACATGAATGCACCACAAGAACAATACAAGCAAGGATCGGCAAGGATCCAGAGAGGAGGAAGCGCTACGGTGGCTGGGAAGTGCAAACCAAAATTACAAAGTGTGAAACCCTTTTGCAAAGCTTGAGACATTTTTACATTTTTAAAATAATTTATGAAACAAAATTACAAAAGCAAAACACTTTTACAGAGGACAAAACAATAAAGCACGTTTACAAGATGAGAAACAATTTTAATAAGTCACCAAACACATTTATAAACGGCAGAATCTTTCCGGAAAAAGGGAACGCACTAGATGCAGGAAGTGAGACCGAAGTGATTGAGTAAGTAGTGAATGAAATGTGTCATACAGAGTTTATGGTGATCCACCTGAGACCGATAACACTGCCTTTCTGTCAAAACAAATGAATAGACCGCTCACTCGATGTGCTTCACACTTTGTACCTTTGGTTAACACTTCCCAGCCACCGTAGGAAACAAAGTCAGTAAGTGCACAGCTTTAAGTCCATTCAGACACACACAGGTTCTGACAGGAAGTCCCTCCCCTTCAGATCTACACTGTGAGGATGGGTGTGACCAACCAGAACAGTTCTCAAGAAGTGAAACTCAGACAGTCGTTGTTACTGACAGGAGAAATGGCACAGCGAGAAAACCAACTGGACCGAGAGAGATTCTGCTGTTCCATCTGTCTGGAACTACTGAAGGATCCGGTGACTACTTCCTGTGGACATAGCTACTGCATAACGTGTGTTAAGAGCCACTGGGACACAGAGGATGAGAAGAGAGTCTACAGCTGCCCTCAGTGCAGACAGGTCTTCACACCGAGGCCTGTCCTGGTGAAAAGCACCATGTTAGCAGATTTAGTGGAGGAGCTGAAGAAGACTGGACTCCAAGCTGCTCCTGCTGATCACTGCTATGCTGGATCTGAAGATGTGGCCTGTGATGTCTGCACCGGGAGAAAACTGAAAGCCCAAAAGGCCTGCCTGGTCTGTATGATCTCATTTTGTGAGAAACATCTCCAGCCTCATTATGATTCAACTGCCTATTCAAAACACAAGCTGGTGGAGCCCTCCAAGAAGATTCAGGAGAACGTCTGCTCTCGTCATGATGAGGTGATGAAGATGTTCTGCCGCACTGATCAGCAGTCTATCTGTTATCTCTGCTCTGTGGACGAACACAAAGGTCATGACACAGTCTCAGCTGCAGCAGAAAGGAGTGAGAAGCAGAGAGAGCTCGAGGTGAGTCGAGAAAACATCCAGCAGAGAATCCAGGACAGAGAGAAAGATGTGAAGCTGCTCCAACAGGAAGTGGAGGCGATCAATGGCTCCGCTGATAAAACAGTGGGGAACAGTGAGAAGATGTTCACTGAGCTGATCCGTCTCATGGAGAAAAGACGCTCTGATGTGAAGCAGCAGGTCAGATCCCAGCAGCAAACTGAAGTGAGTCGAGTCAAAGAGCTTCAGGAGAAGCTGGAGCAGGAGATCACTGAGCTGAAGAGGAGAGACGCTGAGATGAAGAAGCTGTCACACACACAGGACCACAACCAGTTTCTACACGACTACCCCTCACTGTCACCACTCAGTGAATCTACACACTCATCCAGCATCAAGAGCCGTCCTCTGAGGTACTTTGAGGATGTGACAGAGACTGTGTCAGAAGTCAGAGATAAACTACAGGACGTCCTGAGAGAGAAATGGACAAACATCACACAGACAGTGACTGAAGTGGATGTTTTACGGTCAGAACCAGAACCAGAGCCCAAGACCAGAGCTGAGTTCTTACAATATTCATGTGACATCACACTGGATCCAAACACAGCACACACAAAGCTGATATTATCTGATGGGAACAGAAAAGTAAAAGTACGGTGGGAAAACCAGTCCTATTCTAGTCACCCAGACAGATTTACTGATTGGTGTTGTCAGGTCCTGAGTAAAGAGAGTCTAACTGGACGTTGTTACTGGGAGGTGAGGAGGGGAGGAGGAGTTTCTGTAGCAGTCGCATACAAGAATATCAGCAGAGCAGGGATCTCGGATGAATGTGTGTTTGGACACAATGACAAATCTTGGGCGTTAGAGTGTGACGACAGTTATAACTATGTTTACAATAGTGTCTTCACTCGTGTCTTTGGTCCTCAGTCCTCCAGAGTAGGAGTGTACCTGGATCACAGAGCAGGTATTCTGTCCTTCTACAGCATCACAAAAACCATGACTCTCCTCCACAGAGTCCAGACCACATTTACTCAGCCTCTACATGCTGGATTCGGGTTTTATGGTTGTGTTGGACACACAGCTGAGTTGTGTGAACTGAAATAGACAGAAGTCAATTTAGGGACAGTGGGTCCACTTCTGCTTCATCTCTTCATCTTATTTAGTTTTCATGTTTGTAGCTAAGAGCTCATTGCTGTCCCTTACTGCACACAGATCACCTGTCAATCAAACATTAAGGGGCGGTGCTTTGATGTCTGAATATCTGTTGTGGCTTTTTGAGTTGCTTGGCGCTCCATCCTGTGTCTCTATAGTCGCGGAGGTTATCGCTGCTCATGATGATGTTTGTTCACCTGAACTGACCTGAACATATTATATATATTATATAACATTATATAACATGTCATTATATTACACTATATTGTTCATATTGCACTATATCATATTATACTACATTATATTATATAACTGCACTCTGCATTACTGTGGTACAACACTGCCTCTCTTCTCTGCTGTTCACATTACTTGAGTCACTTTAATCAACACTTTATCTTGTCATTCTCTTCAAATACTGCTTAAATTCTCAATTCCCCCCAGTTAACTCAACATTCACTTTTGTACTGTATATACCCCCTGTTTTTATTTTTAGTTATCTTATCTATTCTGTTTAATGTGTATTTGAGCTTTCTTGTCTGTGCTGCTGTAACGCCCGAATTTCCCCTCTGCGGATCAATAAAGTACTATCCTATCCTATCCTATCCTAACATGTAAACTTGTATGCTCACAGTGTTGGTTGGATATTTCAATCCAATCAGATCAAAGAGTAGTATGAAGAAATATGTTCATGTTTTACAGGATGACAGAAGAGATTTGATAATAATGAAAATACTACAAATGATTTTCCTGCCATATTTAATCAGGAGAAGGGATTTCAAACCAATACAGACAAATCCAAAGAAGAAATGTCAGCGTGTCAGAGGGTTCAACTTGTGATAAAGACACTGTGTGCATTTCAAAACATGGACACAAATAAATGTCAAAGTGAGCTGTAAGCATTATTGAGTATGGAATTTTTGTTTTTTTTATTCAAGCGGCAGATGAAGAAGGGAACAACTCTTTAGTCTCTATTTTCATTCACATTTAATCCCTCTGTGTCATTGATTTGGACTAATATAGTTCCAACAGAGTTTAAACTACACGACTTCTTCAATATATTTTTTTCTCAGCACTTTGTACATAGAAATCTATGACCGCGTTGACTTTGATTTGTTTGTCACACCGAATTTTGTTTGGATTCTAATAAAGTACTAAGAGGACAAACAAGGAAAGACTTTAATTGTAAAAACTGTAAATGTGTTAAAATGTTAAAATCATTCATGAGATTTAGTCAGGAGTGAAAGTAGTTCGCTCCGGTTCAGCATGGCCTTCCACTAAAAGATTCAGTGGCGGTATGCAGTAAAGAGGGGACAGTAGCTTCCTGTCACTTCCACACTTTCAGCAAGAAAACACGTCTGCTAACATTCTGTCATCTCAAACAAAGCTTTGTCTCCTTCTGGTTTGCTCCGAAGATTCTGCATGACTGTGCACTGACGCTGCAATAAAGCTGTTTTATTGAAGGCCTCACAAGGGGCACCATTCATGGGGGGATTTGATGTGATACATTTGGCTATTATATTATTATTAATTATTATGATTAATTACTTATAAATGTGAATAAACATTCATCTAAATAATAATAATATAATAAATCTAAATAAAAATATGGGGCACCACCCTGAAATCAGGGAATAATAACCAAATAACACAAAATCAATCTGAAATTTAAATGGTTAAATACAAATATGATCATATGCAATAAATATCTTGTTGTATTTATAGTGAAAAAATGTTGAATTAGATTTTTCTAACATAATGGTCACAATGTAAATGCAATTATCATTCAAACCTACATAGTCCACATTAAAAAAAGATACCCCTTGGCTTTAATAACAATATGACCACTGGACAGACAGGATCTTAATTTTTTAACATGGAAACCAACAACAGCCAATTCTTTTATTTTCCCCATAGCCCTCAACAGGTTGCCATTAGTACTGCAATACTGCCATCTGATGGGCAAACACAGTATGTCATAAATGATATTGTAGAGGTGCTTACATTGTGTTCAATGAGTAACCAGTAGCAAAAATGTGTTTATCACCGGAAATAAATATTTCTTGACCCCAATTAATACTGAAAGCTATTGTTTCATTATACAAGCAGACAATACAAGTCATGGACCAGAGACCAATGAGATGGCATCACTGTGGCACTTAAAAAACACCTTTTCATCTTAGGCAACTTCATGAATTGTAGTAATCTTAAACTGTTTTTTAAATGTGTAAATAATCATGATGATAATGATTGTCTTGCCCCAATGTACAATACATCGTTTGGCTAGTCTGCTTTCTCTGCAAAGGGGGCAAAACTTTGGAACTCTCTGCCAACTAGCATAAAAATAGAGAGCAACAGTAATGCTTTTAAAACAAGGCAGGTGGGGAATTGATTTCTCTCTTGTACTAATTGTACACATGCATATATGTTTCCCCTCCAGAAAGTGAGGAAGTGGTATCACCCAATTTAGTTCAATGTGTTAAGACAATATATTCTGTCACGTTAAAATGTACAAAACTGTACTCTGTAACCGTTGAGCTCTATACTATCTGCAGCAGTGGATTAGCAGAGAAAATCACTCCCATAGTTCGCTGCCATCCTTGACGTCATGTTGAATTTAAATACTGTACCTTTAAAGCTTTAGTTGTCACTTCTATGACCTTTAATTTTAAAAATTAGGATTCAAGACTTTGTAAGTACCCTGAGCACCGCTGTTCCTCTTTTGTACAAAGTTACCGTGCTGTGTGGACGTCATGCGATAACAGAACAGGGAGAATTTCACATCTCTGAGTCAATAAATGAGGAACACAGAGGAGTCCTTTAAATAAAAATGGTTTATTCTCTTAATATAGCTTTTGTTCTATCAGAGCAGAGCGGAGCCTCCGAGCCGCTCCGTGCTAAAGCCTGGAGCTGGATCTCAGCTCAGCTCAGCGTCGTAATGACCGACAAACGTCTTTACAGCACAACACCGGCGTGACACGGATCCAACCACAGTCGCTCTGCTCACTCTTTACAAACAGGAGGGAGGGAGGGAGGGGGAGAGGGGGGAGGAGAGGAGGGAGGGGGGTCAGACCTGAGTCCAGATCCTGTTTATCTGTGACGTGGACCCAGCAGCGCAGATCCCCAGGCTGCAGGGAGACGTATAATCTGTGTGTTTGTGTTAAACTGACATCTTGCTCCTGTATGGCTGTCGATGTGGAGGCAGAAAGTTCTGCCACGAAAAGGTCACACGTTGAGGTAACAAAGATTCTTCCTGCAAATAAAAACAAACAAGAATCATTCTTTACCGTGAAAATCTTTCAGCCATGTTTCTCTTACTATTGAAGTGGAGATTAGAGACATCTTGACAAACTGCGTCTAACGTCTGTGTCGGCGGCTGTCAGCACAAACATTAGCACAGAGAATGATCACACATTTCAGCTCATACATGTCCTGAAATCTCCTTATTTTGAGTAAACAGCGATAAAAATGTGTGTTTACGCAGCCCAACGCTTTCTGTCGGTGTCTTCTTAAAGTCGGGAAAACCCTGAATTCTGGATTTTTTTTAAATAGAAAGTTCCAACGTCAGAAATCATAAATATTAGAGGCAGACTGATAATATCTTCCGGTATCAGCATATCCAGTGACTATCGGTATAGGCTAATTTTATCACAGATATGCGCTGACATGACTTGATTTATTCACCATTCTGAGTTTCACTGTTTTATACTAGAAGTTCTCTTTAACCATCAGAGGGGGCGCTATATGGATTACAACAATCTCTCCAGAGGGTTCGAGCATCAGTACATGCTCAGTTACTGTCCAGCTGAGTGACCATCTTAACTTCATTATAAATCTTTTCTACAAGTGTGCAAGTGTCTAACTGCATTGGAGGGATCAACTCAATAAATGTGTTAATCTATATCCATCAATCTCTACAGATCGAAGATAGAACCAAGTAGATATCGGCTGATATATCGGTATCTGATTTTTACTCTTCCTAATGTAGGTATCCCTATCGGAACCAAAACAAATATCAAAGAGAAAACTGAAGATTTCAGGAGTGAAATGTTTCCATGTTAAAAATAAAGATTGAATGTAATCAGTTCTAACAGCTGCTTGACTGTTGGCCCCCTGATACAGTCTAAAGGCCTTAGCACACTGATTCCTTTTTAGTCTTCTTTCTTTGGAACGTGTTTGATTTTCTGCGTTTGCCGCGTTCATCCCTGTGCTTGTGTCCGTACTGTCCCAACCTCAAACAAACTGCCAGCCGCTGCTCAGGATCAGTTGCTTTGCAGAAATCTTTTTAACATATGGTTCCAAAATAGAGAGCAGCGTATCAAACACACCACTGACATCCCTATATACACCTGGCAGCGATCGGGAGAATTCTGCAGGTGAACCAGTCCTCACTCTTGTCTTGGTTTCATTTGGACGGACCACATATTTTTTTTTTTTTCAAAGAGTGAAAGAACCACAAAATCATCTTCACTGCTTGATGACATTTTGTCTCATACTGTGAATTAATTTTTTCGGATTGAAAAAATGCATTAGAAGAAAACGGACTCGATGTACAAAGACATTAAGATGTGGAAGAAGGTATCGCTGAGTTCCCCATCATTAGTCTTCTAACCCAAATATGAGGATAATTATGAGTAAAGATATAAAATACTAACAGTGCTGTGCTCACATAGAGCGGGACGCTACTCAAAGTCAGATGTCACTAATTTATGTTTTTACACTGATAATAATGTCTATGTTTTTGGGGGCGGCAGTAGCTTAGTACATGTGGACTTGGGTTGGGAACCAGAGGGTCACCGGTTCAAGTCCCTGTTTGGACCATAATATGGAAGTTGGTCTGGTAGCTGGAGAGGTGCCAGGTCACTTCCTAAATAACGTTAAGTTGTAACTTTACGAGAATAAAGTCGTTATGAATTTTTGGTTTTAATCCGAGCTTTATGTGAAAGGTTAAAGAAGGTGGATTCCAGCTCACATTAAAAGTATTTTAAGACAATTAGCTAAAATCATGAATGACCTCAGTATGATCAACACATTGTGAATTTGGAACAACTATCGGACTGAAGGATCAGGTGTGTGTTACCTGCTCTCCGCTCATCATGTAGCGTTAGAGCCGCTGATGGCCTTCGTGCCGTCTGTGTTGGCGTTTGCATGTTCCTTCACCACAGGATCTGAGGGATAAACACACAGAGCCAGCAAACACAGGTCAATAACGCAAACACAGGTGAACACAGGTGAGTCCAGGTGATTAAATAACTTGTTTTTCATCAAAGGTTTCTGTTGGTCGTTTAAAAAGTTGAACATTCAGCAGCAGCTTCATTACCAGAAACAACATGCAGTGTGTGTGCGTGTGTGTGTGCGTGTGTGTGTGTGTGTGTGTGTGTGTGCCTGTGTGTGACTAACAGAAGTAGGGGTGCTGCATGGCCTCGGCAGCCGTCAGTCTCTGCTGGTGGTCGTAGCGCAGCAGTTTGTCCAGCAGGTCCAGAGCCTCAGGACTGACCAGGTGTTGGTTCTCAGACTGGATGAACTGCTCCCAGCGCTTACGGGTTTGTCTGCAAACACAAGGAAACGTTTACTTTCTGGACTCTGAATCAGGGATGTGACGACAAAGGACAAAAACCGCAGGAGGAGAGGGCGGGACTCAGTGTGTGCTCGGAGTGGGCAGGGTTCAGATGGACGTAGCAGCAAAGAAGAGAAAATATAATCACAGTGAGGAGAAACACCAAGCGGATAAAGCTCGTTCTTAAACGAGGGTGAATCTTTTACCCGTGGACGTGGAGTTTGTCTGCTTCCTGTTGGACAGGCGGGTTACCAAACACTGGCGGTTAGCTTTTGCTAGCGTGCGTTAGCTTGCAGTGTAGGGGCGGGTTAGGATTTGTTTGAGTCTATATTTGACTTGTTAGGAAGAAGCTGCTGACTCTGGTCAGTGTTGTCTTCTCCTCCTCTCATACTCACTGTCCCAGCAGGTCTTTAAAGCGAGTGTCCAGCTCTATGTGATATTTGTGCAGGTAGCCGAAAAGCTCATCGGTGCCCAGAACTTTAGCGATTCGGACCAGCTGAAAAGCAAACACATATGATATGTCAGTTTATAACAGGAACATTCATGGTAATATAAAACACACATAACATATATATCATTCCATTGCTGCAATTGAATACATGCAACAATACTCTGTCACTTCGTCCACCACCGCACACTCAGATTAAAGTCAGGCGGTCGTAATGATACCCGAGCAGCTCGCCCAGGTTAGCCTTCAGTCCTTTTCAGAGATCTTTTTTCACAACGTGCCGTAAGTAAGCTCAGCCGTTCATGTTGATTCTGCGACAGCGGCTGTAAACACAGTTGATCGTCATCAAGAATCACCGCTACTAAGTGCACCGCCGCTAAAACTGCGTTCGTTCGATGATAAACACTTTCTATTTCCGACAACTTCTTCACAATAAAAGTCCCCGACCTATCTGTAGTTGAAGTGCTTTTAATGTGAAACATCCATATCAGGAAATGAGGTGTTTACAGCGGTAGCAACTTAACACAACTCGTCTGAAATAAAAAGGAAAGAAACAAAAAACGTCTTTCTCTTGTGTAATAAACTAAACAAACAAAAACGTATTATTGTTACCTATAGGCTACTGTAGGCTACCTCTATAATGTATTAATTTTAACTTACAATGTAAAAATATTGATAATGACATTGTTGTCGAAAGCACTATTTAAATGATACAAAAGGAGTTCATATTTATAAGACTGCTTGTTTCTGTTTATGAAAAAGTAGCCATGTGCAGTAATATAGAAAATTGAGGATGAATTGTGATGCATCCTGATATCCAATCGAATCGAATCGTTAACTGGATAATCGTAATCGAATCTAATCGTGAGACCAGTGAAGATGCACAGCGCTACATTATATCCCACCCCACGCCCCCCTCTGACAGGGATAGTCTCCCGCTGTGAGGTGCATGTGTGAACAACCAGATCATGAGAATATCCGAAGCGGTCCTCCAGAAATGATCTACATATTTTCTGTAGTGCATGTGTGAAAACAGCTTTTGTGAATACCTGGTCGTAGTTGTCCTGGCCGTGAAAAAATGGCTCCTTCAGAAAGATCATGCTGGCCAACATGCAGCCTAAACTCCACATGTCCAAACTGTAGTCATACATCTGAGGAGGGAGAAGAGAGTCAATCACACACGTGACATGATTGAGAACGAGACACAAATATGACGTTTTTCTTTCCCTGATTCTTACCTGATAGTCCACTAGCAGCTCGGGGCCTTTAAAGTAACGAGAGGCCACCCTGACGTTGTATTCCTGAGCGGGATGGTAAAACTCTGCCAACCCCCAATCTATGAGACGCAGCTGAGACACAGAGGAACACAACAACTCAGCAATCGGGATTAAAGCAGAGAGGAAACTCAGGGTGTCAAGGACTCAGATACTCCTTCAATACAATCTGTTTCTTTTATGATATCGATATCAGATAGTCTCAAAGCTTTAAAAAAACCTGAGACGGTCAGTTCCATATGACAGGAGTGTTGGAGAGAAATTACTATCAAATATCGCAGGTGAACGCCTGCACACTAACCACACAAATACTTTAGCAATGTGTTTGTGCTATTTCAACAGAGCAGGAGTTTTACCTTCAATCTGTTAATTCAAAAAGGTTCTCCCCGGGAAGACACGATCGCACCTATCAATGCAACTTTATGCAAACTTGACCGACGGCCATGTTTGTTTGCTGGAAAGGATGCTCCGACCGATTTGTCAAACCTCGGGTACAGGAGGAACAATGTGGATTCCATCCTGGCCATGGGACAGTGATCCAGCTCTTTACCCTCGCAGGGCTTCTTGGGGGACGGGAGGGGGTGGTCATGGGAATTTGCTCATCCAGACTAGTGTGTTTTGTGGACTTGGAGAAGGCTTATGACTTCGTCCCTCGAGGGACCATGGGGGGGGGGGTACTGCCGGAATATGGGGTCCCAGGGCGGTTGCTGCGAGCTATCCAGTCCCTGTATGACCAAAGTGGGAGCTGTGTTCACATCCTCGGCACAAAGACACGTTCCCGGTGTGTGTTGGCCTCCGCCAGGGAAGCCCCTTGTCACCGGTGCTGTTTGTCGTTTTCATCATTTTAATGGCGATCTTATCTTGAACCATATTTTTGCAACGGATTCTTTGAACACTAAAAAATAGTAGCAACTGTTTCTTCAGCGTCCTTTTCTTGTGAGATGTCGTTGAAAAAAATACATCCAGTCACCTCAACTTAAAAAAACCCTTGAAAATGGACTGCACAGTGGTTCATGGAGCTAAGAGGTCCAGGTAAGGGTTTAGGTTAGGACAGAAAACAATTTAAAGGCGCAGTACGTAAACCCCGCCACCAGGGGGCTCTCAATGAAAACAATAACAAAGATGACGTCCAGGTTGGCGGGGAATCATGGGAGTGATTCTCTCGAGGATCGAGGAACCATGAGAGAACCCCCCCAGGAAACTTTGTACTGGCAGACACGCCCCCTCATCAAATAACACTCACTGATTGGAATAAACGACTTAGTCTGTGTTAGACTGGATGCGTCTGAGATCTATTTCCTTACCAAGGTTTTAAAACTTCTCACTGTTCATACGATGGCTTCCTTTAAGGTTAACCCTAACCCAGGACGACAGTTTCACTGTTATCACAATAAAACAAAATCACACATTCAATCTGCCTTTCAGGGTTCAACTCCTGATGACTCATCCATCACCTTTCTGAGCTGGTGATCGATCATCACGTTGTGCGGCTTCACGTCCCGGTGCATGATGCCCATACTGTGACAGTAGTCCAGAGCCTGAAGACACACACACACAAAAACCAGTTCACATAAACCAGTCTGTAGTAACCTGAACCAGTCTGTGTTCACATAAACCAGTCTGTAGTAACATAAACCAGTCTGTGTTCACATAAACCAGTCTGTAGTAACATAAACCAGTCTGTGTTCACATGAACCAGTCTGTGTTCACATAAACCAGTCTGTGTTCACATGAACCAGTCTGTGTTCACATGAACCAGTCTGTGTTCACATAAACCAGTCTGTGGTAACATAAACCAGTCTGTGTTCACATGAACCAGTCTGTGTTCACATGAACCAGTCTGTAGTAACCTGAACCAGTCTGTAGTAACCTGAACCAGTCTGTGGTAACATAAACCAGTCTGTGTTCACATGAACCAGTCTGTGGTAACATAAACCAGTCTGTGTTCACATGAACCAGTCTGTGGTAACATAAACCAGTCTGTGGTAACATAAACCAGTCTGTGTTCACATGAACCAGTCTGTAGTAACCTGAACCAGTCTGTAGTAACCTGAACCAGTCTGTAGTAACATAAACCAGTCTGTGTTCACATGAACCAGTCTGTGTTCACATGAACCAGTCTGTGGTAACATGAACCAGTCTGTGTTCACATGAACCAGTCTGTGGTAACATAAACCAGTCTGTGTTCACATGAACCAGTCTGTGGTAACATTAACCAGTCTGTGGTCACATAAACCAGTCTGTGTTCACATGAACCAGTCTGTGGTAACATGAACCAGTCTGTGGTCACATAAACCAGTCTGTGTTCACATGAACCAGTCTGTGGTAACATGAACCAGTCTGTGGTAACATGAACCAGTCTGTGGTCACATAAACCAGTCTGTGGTCAAATAAACCAGTCTGTGTTCACATGAACCAGTCTGTGTTCACATAAACCAGTCTGTGGTCACATGAACCAGTCTGTGTTCACATAAACCAGTCTGTGGTAACATAAACCAGTCTGTGTTCACATGAACCAGTCTGTGTTCACATAAACCAGTCTGTGTTCACATGAACCAGTCTGTGTTCACATAAACCAGTCTGTGGTCACATAAACCAGTCTGTGGTCACATAAACCAGTCTGTGTTCACATGAACCAGTCTGTGTTCACATAAACCAGTCTGTGTTCACATAAACCAGTCTGTGGTAACATGAACCAGTCTGTGGTCACATAAACCAGTCTGTGGTAACATGAACCAGTCTGTGGTCACATAAACCAGTCTGTGTTCACATGAACCAGTCTGTGTTCACATGAACCAGTCTGTGGTCACATAAACCAGTCTGTGTTCACATGAACCAGTCTGTGTTCACATAAACCAGTCTGTGGTCACATAAACCAGTCTGTGGTAACATGAACCAGTCTGTGTTCACATGAACCAGTCTGTGTTCACATAAACCAGTCTGTGGTCACATAAACCAGTCTGTGGTAACATAAACCAGTCTGTGTTCACATGCACCAGTTAAATCAGTCTACAGTCACATAAACCAGTTAAACCAGTCTATAGTCACATGAACCAGTCTGTGTTCACATGAACCAGTTAAACCAGTCTGTGTTCACATGAACCAGTCTGTGGTCACATAAACCAGTCTGTGGTAACATAAACCAGTCTGTGTTCACATGAACCAGTCTGTAGTAACCTGAACCAGTCTGTAGTAACCTGAACCAGTCTGTGGTAACATAAACCAGTCTGTGTTCACATGAACCAGTCTGTGTTCACATAAACCAGTCTGTGGTAACATAAACCAGTCTGTGTTCACATGAACCAGTCTGTAGTAACCTGAACCAGTCTGTAGTAACCTGAACCAGTCTGTAGTAACATAAACCAGTCTGTGTTCACATGAACCAGTCTGTGTTCACATGAACCAGTCTGTGGTAACATAAACCAGTCTGTGTTCACATGAACCAGTCTGTGGTAACATGAACCAGTCTGTGGTCACATAAACCAGTCTGTGGTAACATAAACCAGTCTGTGTTCACATGAACCAGTCTGTGGTAACATGAACCAGTCTGTGGTAACATGAACCAGTCTGTGGTCACATAAACCAGTCTGTGGTCAAATAAACCAGTCTGTGTTCACATGAACCAGTCTGTGTTCACATAAACCAGTCTGTGGTCACATGAACCAGTCTGTGTTCACATAAACCAGTCTGTGGTAACATAAACCAGTCTGTGTTCACATGAACCAGTCTGTGTTCACATAAACCAGTCTGTGTTCACATGAACCAGTCTGTGTTCACATGAACCAGTCTGTGGTCACATAAACCAGTCTGTGTTCACATGAACCAGTCTGTGTTCACATGAACCAGTCTGTGTTCACATAAACCAGTCTGTGTTCACATGAACCAGTCTGTGGTCACATAAACCAGTCTGTGTTCACATGAACCAGTCTGTGTTCACATAAACCAGTCTGTGTTCACATAAACCAGTCTGTGGTAACATGAACCAGTCTGTGGTCACATAAACCAGTCTGTGGTAACATGAACCAGTCTGTGGTCACATAAACCAGTCTGTGTTCACATGAACCAGTCTGTGTTCACATGAACCAGTCTGTGGTCACATAAACCAGTCTGTGGTAACATGAACCAGTCTGTGTTCACATGAACCAGTCTGTGTTCACATGAACCAGTCTGTGGTCACATAAACCAGTCTGTGGTAACATAAACCAGTCTGTGTTCACATGAACCAGTCTGTGGTCACATAAACCAGTCTGTGTTCACATGAACCAGTCTGTGTTCACATAAACCAGTCTGTGTTCACATAAACCAGTCTGTGGTCACATAAACCAGTCTGTGTTCACATGAACCAGTCTGTGTTCACATGAACCAGTCTGTGGTAACATAAACCAGTCTGTGTTCACATGAACCAGTCTGTGGTAACATGAACCAGTCTGTGGTCACATAAACCAGTCTGTGGTAACATAAACCAGTCTGTGTTCACATGAACCAGTCTGTGGTAACATGAACCAGTCTGTGGTAACATGAACCAGTCTGTGGTCACATAAACCAGTCTGTGGTCAAATAAACCAGTCTGTGTTCACATGAACCAGTCTGTGTTCACATAAACCAGTCTGTGGTCACATGAACCAGTCTGTGTTCACATAAACCAGTCTGTGGTAACATAAACCAGTCTGTGTTCACATGAACCAGTCTGTGTTCACATAAACCAGTCTGTGTTCACATGAACCAGTCTGTGTTCACATGAACCAGTCTGTGGTCACATAAACCAGTCTGTGTTCACATGAACCAGTCTGTGTTCACATGAACCAGTCTGTGTTCACATAAACCAGTCTGTGTTCACATGAACCAGTCTGTGGTCACATAAACCAGTCTGTGTTCACATGAACCAGTCTGTGTTCACATAAACCAGTCTGTGTTCACATAAACCAGTCTGTGGTAACATGAACCAGTCTGTGGTCACATAAACCAGTCTGTGGTAACATGAACCAGTCTGTGGTCACATAAACCAGTCTGTGTTCACATGAACCAGTCTGTGTTCACATGAACCAGTCTGTGGTCACATAAACCAGTCTGTGGTAACATGAACCAGTCTGTGTTCACATGAACCAGTCTGTGTTCACATGAACCAGTCTGTGGTCACATAAACCAGTCTGTGGTAACATGAACCAGTCTGTGTTCACATGAACCAGTCTGTGTTCACATGAACCAGTCTGTGGTCACATAAACCAGTCTGTGGTAACATAAACCAGTCTGTGTTCACATGAACCAGTCTGTGGTCACATAAACCAGTCTGTGTTCACATGAACCAGTCTGTGTTCACATGAACCAGTCTGTGGTCACATAAACCAGTCTGTGTTCACATGAACCAGTCTGTGGTAACATGAACCAGTCTGTGGTCACATAAACCAGTCTGTGTTCACATAAACCAGTCTGTGGTCACATAAACCAGTCTGTGGTAACATAAACCAGTCTGTGTTCACATGCACCAGTTAAACCAGTCTACAGTCACATAAACCAGTTAAACCAGTCTATAGTCACATGAACCAGTCTGTGTTCACATGAACCAGTTAAACCAGTCTATAGTCACATGAACCAGTCTACAGTCACATGAACCAGTCTGTGGTGTTTACCTTGAGCAGCTCGTACATGTAGTATCGGATATCGTAGTCCGTCAGCTTCTGGTAAAGTTCCTGCAGAACAACATCAACAAACATGATGTCAGAGGTTTAACAGAAAATGTGTGTGTGTGTGTGTGTGTGTGTGTGTGTGTGTGTGTGTGTGTGTGTGTGTGTGTGTGTGTGTGTGTGTGTCGTACCTTAAAGTCTGTGTTATTGATGCACTCAAAGACGAGCGCTGGAGTTCTGGACTGAAAGAGAGAAAGACACGCGAGACGTCACTGGGGAGAACATTATAACTGCACACACACACTGTCCCACCTCTCCCTGCACGCCGCACGCCACACGTAGCACGCCGCACAGTGGCGGCATCAGACTCACCACTGGGTCTTTGACCGTGTCCACCAGGCGGATGATGTTAGTTCCTCCACGCAGGTTCTCAAGAATTTTGATCTCTCGTTTGATCTTCTTCTTCTTGACCGGCTGTGAAATAAAACAAAAGAAATCAGCAAATTGTTGATGATGTTAGCGTCGTCAACAACCAATAGCAGCTTGCCAGCAGCATACAAGACGCTACGAACTAGTAAACATGGCGGGGAGAAGAAGGTACAGCTGGGGGAGAAAGTTCACATTCGAACTGTCATGAGCCGTTGAATTCAAAATATTCAGTCTTTCGGCGCTGCAGCCGTCTGAAGTCGTTTGCACTTGAATTCAGCAGAGGGCGCTCTCATCTTAACATGACCACTACATGACCTCTTGACCTCAGTGAATGAAGACAGTGATGTTGTGGCACGAGTAAGACTCGTCTCTCTGCAGACGGCGACCCACTGCTTTGGAGGAGAAACACAGGGTCGCTACAAACCCACAACTCTCCAAGCTGGCTCGCAAATATCTGTGTGTACAAATGTTTTGTGTGGCGGGCAAATGTGTTCGAACATTACCATGTCGTGTTCTTAAGGCCCTGTGTCCACCTAGTGTTTTTTTCTGAGCGCCAGCGTCTTACAATTCACTTAGCAGACGCTTTTTATCCAAAGCGACGTACATCAGAGAGTAAGTACAACACTAATCCATTCATACACCACCACCAAAGCAGTGGGAACAATGCAGGGTTAAGTGACTTGTCCAAGGACACATCGGACATGTTGCTCAGCTGGGGAACGAACCCTCAACCTTCCGGTTGAGAGGCAACAACTCTACCAACTGAGCCTCTACCCTGTCTTTTTTCAGGTGTTTTCAATGAGTAGAGAGCGTTCTCAGCAGAAAGCAGCCATCCAGCGTCTTTTTTCTGAGCGCTCTGCTGGTTTTGTGCGGTCGCTTCGAGCGCTAAAGTTGAAAATCTTTCAACTTTTCAGAAAGGCGCTGATGACGTCACTGGCGCTCTTTTCAAATTGTATGATATTCCCCGTATTTTAGCCTACGAGAGATCGTATCTTGTACCCACATCCTCCTCACTCCGTGTCTGATCTCAAATATAAAACATGAAGTCAGGGGTGCAAACTCATCAGGGATGAAAAAGGTGACATGGATCCAAACCTCCTAGGGCGGTCCGGGGGCATGCCCCCCCGGGAAGATTTTTAAAAAATATCAACTTTAAAATGTGAATTTACAGACTACTTTAGCATTCAGACTGACTAAAGAAGTGGTGCAAACAATAAGAAAAACACAATTGCTTGTTGATATCTATGTTCTGTTCTAACTTTTTGAAAAACCTGTGCCAACCTTGAGTCCCTTTTTATAAATAGGATGAATTTGCAGAACAGGGCATGTTCCACTAAGGGGTGATGTGAAGGGCAGTCACTGCAAGCAGCTCTCAGGGAAAGAGTCTGAGAGAGCATCATACTGCAGTCATCAAGAATGACAATATTTTCTGTTCTATCATTAAATATGTAACATTATCAATATATTAACCTGATGTTTTGCTCCTGATGATTTTCATTCAGTTTATATTCCCTCTGGCCTACCTTATTATATTTGTTGACCAGCTGTAACTTTAATGTTGCCTGAGATAATAATAAAACAGAAAGCTTGATGAAGTTACCTTCAAGCTAGCACACATTTCTCTCAACATCTTTACCTATGGCTACCAAACAGTAAATACGATCAGACAGGATGTTTAACAGAAAGAATGGCTTGCTAGCTAATAACGTAATGTAAATTAGCCAATTATGCCACTCATTGAATCAGGTTTCATGCTTCTTGCGGTCGACGCGGCGTTATTGCGCAATCGTGGCCGGTGAGTGGAGGGTCTGCGGAGGGTCTAATCGCCCAGCCGCGCATCTCCAAGATTTTGAAACAACGCGGACAGGTTCGCACAGACAGGTTCGCATGAACCGCGTTGCAATGATTGGCTACAGGGCCCGGAAGTACGTCGGTCCATGTCTGACTGCAGTCAGTATGAAACGACTCGATGTTCACAGGGTCCGCGCTCGCTGGCCGCAAGAAGCATGAATAAGGTTGCAGATTTATCCCCCCCACCTTCCTCCAAATATTTTTTATTGCAGATCTAAATTAATCACAGAAATTACATATTTGGGATCCAAGACGGCAAATTTTGCCAAAAGGTGACAAGTTTGCACCCCTGAAGGTAAAAAGTAACGGAGCAGTGTCAGTCATACAGCGGCCGTTGTCAACAGACTGTTGTCATGGAGACAGGACGGACGTGCAGCGCTTTTCTTCTCAGCGCTCAGTGCAAACACTCCCGAGAAGCACAGCCGGCGCTTTTCTGCCCGGAAAAAACGCTAAGTTGCCACGGGGCCTAATTTATTAGAAGTTCCTCACGTGAGGTTTGGGACAAGGAGGGGAAAATGGCGGAGTTGTGAAGAGAGCAGGAACACCTCTTTGTACCACGAGAGAGCGAAGAAGGAGAGAGAGAAAGGGGGGGCAGAAAACACTGCGGCCCTCATAATCCCCTCGTTAGTTTGTTGTGGCGAGCTAATAGCTGAGATAATTCAGATCAAAGAGGTGTAAATAATCCAGACGGAGCCTCACCTTGAGGATCTTCACCACCACCTTCTCGTTGTTGGTCACATTTATGGCCTCGAACACTTCGCTGTACTTCCCTCTGCCCAGTTTACGAACCAGCTGATAGTTGTCCTGATTGCTGCAGTGAGCAGAAAAAAACAACAAACAAACCCAAAGCAGAGATTAAAGAAACGACAGAATAAACAAACAACCGGTCGGATTGGGTTTATTGTTTAATCCAGCGTGAGAGCATCGGTGTGTCAGAAGCCCAGGAGTCCTTATCCAGGCAGCACAAACCGGACTCTTGAGTAGCAGAACGAGCTGATCTGGAACTTCTCCCACCCCGATGTCCCTGACGCCCAGCCACCACCATCGGACTAAGTCGTTTTATGGCGGACAAAGTAATATATTTTAGTGGTTCGTGCATCTCTCTCATGGATATTACGTGATGAAAAACGAGGAGTTTTTTTTGTTTTCCATTTGAAAATGTAGAGTGATTTTCTTTTCAAGGTTAAAAAATGAACGAAGAAAAGTTTTAAGGTCAAAAACAAGTTAAAAAAAACGATTTGAATAGAGTGTTTTCTATCTAAGTTCTAGGCTGACAGATATGAGCTTACATGTACAGCAGGTGTTCTATACAAAACTTTAAAGAAGTGAAACTCTGAAAAGTAAATTAAGTTTATATATTTATAATTATTATTATATATTTTTTTAAATGCATTAATGTGTTCCTCATTGTGTTGTCATTGCTACAGTTGGAGCTAATCCTACTTGAGTGATTTACACACATATAGGTGGATACCTTGTGAATTCACAGGGCATATAATAAAGATATTTTGACAAATGGTGTATTCGTCCTATTTTGCATTATAAATCTGAATCTGAGAAGTAACTAGCAAAGATATTTAAAATTTTCTATAAATTCAATGGAGTACAAAGTATATTTTTATTGAGTACAAGAAGGCTTTTTTTTGACACTGGAAAGAACTTATGCAGTACTGTATTTTATAACTTTTACCCACTCAGTCGTTAAAAGTAAAAAGTAAACTAGTGCTAGCTTGTTGAGCTAATATAACACGTAAGAATTGTGTTGTCAAACGGTCCCGTTATGAGTATCAAAAGGTGATTCATGTCGCGCGGTGCTCTGTGTTGTATCACCTGTTGTCTTGACGCACGTTCCTTAGGAGAGTGTCCAGTAGCGGATCACTCGGCGACTGTCTGCTCTGCCTGCACGTAATAATACTTTAACGGTAAACTCCGTCATGTTACGGATTGTTATTTCCCTGGTATTTTTTTCTTTGGTCGGGTAAATAAATTGCGCACCGGAGCCTAAAAAAAAAGTCCGGACATGACGGGCAGTGCACGCTGATCCTTGCTACCACAATAAAAGCATCTTACACAGAGCGGACTTCAGGTAGCAGATAAAAGTTCTGACTGTAGCCTCCATTGAAATGCCACATAGACGCAAAACTACACTTGTGTTACAGGATTCAGATAAATGCCTGACAATAAAAACAACAGTTTGCACGTTTGTCATTAACCCACATTCTGCTCGACTTTTTTTGTCAGACTGACACTGAATAAAAATATTACAATTTTGAAATTGACGGAAATCTGTCGTAACAACGGAGAACTTTAATCCCTGTAGTCACAATAAAGCGTTTATCTGACCTGACTGACAGGTGGGCGCGGTGTAACGGTTTGTCAGGAGGCTTAAAACCCGCCTCAGCTCCAGCTCTCAGCCTGTCGTTAGGTTGACTGAAAGTTAGACTGAGACAGCATTTCCAGCATGGCGACCGCCATCGATTGGACTCCAGTGCTCCCCGCAGGAACAGACGGGTGACCTCTAACTAATCGTGATTTCAGAGGGTGAATGTGTTACCCAACAGTCATGAATAAAAACTAGGCTATGAGTAAGCACGTTTGATTTAGCTGCAGCTACTTTTCCCTGCTTCTCTCTCTGCTGTCAACATGAAGGAGCATTGTGGGGGCACACTGAGACACACCGACATGTGCGCACACACACACAAGCCATTCCAGAGAGGGGGCGTGGTCAGACACAGCTCATTTACATATTTAAAGATACAGACACAGAAACAGCCTGTTCTGAGCAGGGCTGAAATAGAGAGGTTTATAGACATGATCAAATACAGGATCAGAGTGGATTTAGAACAAGAAACTTCATACACATGTTTTGAGGAGCTCTGAGACTTGTGAGGAGAGTATGTGACCTTTAAAACTGGAAAAATAAGAATTGTGTGAGAGAATTTTGAACTCAATTCTCGGGGAGATAAATCGTGATTCAAATGTTATCAAGAATTGTGGAGCCCTAGGGCACATGTGCAAGATCATGTGACCTGATCACCCCTTTAAGAAATATCTTCCTCTTTGTTCTCAGAGCGCCTGTTGATGACACATGCTGATGTGTGTGTGTGTGTGTGTGTGTGTGTGTGTGTGTGTGTACCTCCAGTTTGGCACGTGTGCGTCATAGTCCCAGTACTCTCTGTTCTTCTGTGTGTTGACGTCGGTGTACACCCGAGCCTTGCTGCTGGCCGGCGTGGATCCGGGCATCGCTAGCTTCGCGGCTCCGTGTCGAGGACCGTCTCCTCGCTCTGAACACTTCTTGGCTCGGTACGTGAAGGCAGCGCAGCGAATCTGCTGAACGTGCGGCTCTAAGATCCCTGCGCTGTTCTTACCATGAGCTTTGGCTGGTTGTGTCCGTTGGTGACAGGCGTCAGGCTGTTCTGACGCAGCCGCTGAGCAGACGGACAGAGCGACGATGACCGAGTGTGTGAAGCCCCTGAGCAGTAAGTTGACGGGCAGGATGGGATAAAGAGACGCCAGCTGCAGGAGGACAGGACAGAAGAGACTGTGTTTCATTCAACGTTCAATTTAGAATAAAAAATGCAATTAAAAAACTGTTTGTTGACTTGTTTCTTTATTAATCAGACACCAAAAGTTATTGGATTTGAATATTTTATTTGTCCTTTGCGGTTGACCCACTGAAGGTGTTGTGTTGAGAAAAGCACACGGAGAATCACGTGCCCGCCGCTCATTACAATGTGACAAGTATAAATGTTCTTAGGGTCGATCAGTGACGAGTTATATCCTTCATGTTTGATCGTACTTTCCTGGATGAGTGACTGAACAGTAGGACGTTCACGGTAAAAACAAGTAACTTCACCACGCCGCATGTTCAGACCGACACAAAGAAGACTGGTGCACTGGTACCTAAAACAAATGTAACTCCGCCCCTTTGTTAACATTTCAGCTTCAGTATAATGAAAAAGGAGAAGCAAAGAGATCCGTATGAAACGAGGCAACATCGAATGTGAGCTTTCATCTCGCAGAACGTGTCTGGCCCCGAAGATATTTTTGATTGTGACTTTTACCTGTTATATGATTTTCTTAACAACAACAACGCCGTGACAATCAGTAGCAGACACAAACAATCACGCCACGGAGCAGTGTGAACGCCAGCAGACGACACTGCAGAGCGCCTGGTGCTACACCGCCACGGCAGAAACAGGAACCACCAAGACAGTTCAATCAATCTTTATTTGTAGAGCGTCAACTCATAACAAGTGTTAAATTCTCTAAAAACCTGAACGACAGGCTTAGTACTGACTTTGTGTGAAAACAGGCTCAACTGGCCCAGAACTCAGGCTCAACTGGCCCAGAACTCAGTGAGGTCTGTGCAGCGTACTGCCGCTCTCTCTCTCGCCACGTTATGTATTCTGTAGCCAAATTGCACTGCAAAGGTATTTTATTAAAAACAAACTGTCTTGCGCTTTTTTGTGGGTGAAGGCTTAAAGGAGCTGATTGTGGTGACACCTGGCTGCTGCGACTTCAGCACCGGGAGCTGTCCGCTGTCTGCAGCGCCGCTGTGTTCCGTGGTGGGAGCGTTTTTCCCTGTCACTGATGTCACAGCGTTGTTGTTACAAAAAAGGTTGAAAGAAGTAAAAGTCAACAGAAAATAATATTGTTGGCCAGATATAATTGCTGGCAGGTCAGTTTCTGACCCCTGATTCACAAACATACATGCTTGATTAGATACCCACGGCGACAGCCCTAATGGAGGTAAAAACGAATACCGTAGAATCCAGAATATAAGGTATAAGGTATATAAAATGCAGTCGGATTTGTGGAGTTTGCACCCCCTCATGGCTACAGTGATGAGGGGTTGTGCGCCCCACCTCCGCTGGTCACTCATTACATTTAATCTAAGAGTCTTTCAATCAAAGCAGCACTCGACAAGTGTTATTTACAGAACAGAATACCGCTGTTTGCTTTAAATTAACCATTATGACCTCGTAAGGAAGAAAAGATATGAAAAAGTTGCACAGTCAGCCTCGTCAGCGCCGCTATGTTTCCCCGCACAGCATACAATCATCTTCTTGAAACAGGGATGAATTTTCAATCATGTCATGTGGCGTGCAGTGTGTGATGGTGGCGACTGCACTCTCGGTGATGATGCTGTGTGTGTCAGCATGTTATTCAGGTGTATTAGTCGCACAGGTGTGTAAGATGCAACGCACTGTATCAATGAACAAATCGGAATCAAAAGTGCGGCTTATACGTCGGATTTTACGGTATCTTTGGCTGTGATGGCCGGCAAGCGGCATCAAATTACAGTTCCAGTTAAATTTTAAAGTTCCTCTTTCAGGGTTTACGGTTCAATAAATAAATAAAGTAGCTGGTTTAACTCTTTAACTGAAGCCAGACCAGAACAGATTTAGACCAAACCCCAATGGCTTTAGGGTGCACTGACATGAGGTCCAGTTGTCCCGAAGCAACATGTTTGCATGTTTTTCTCTTTATTCCCGCGTGATCTTGTAGTTCTCCTGCGATCTTGTAGTTCTCCTGCGATCTTGTAGTTCTCCTGCGATCTTGTAGTCCTCCTTAGATCTTGTAGTTCTAGTGTGATCTTGTAGTCCTCCTGAGATCTTGTAGTTCTCCTGTGATCTTGTAGTTCTCCTGAGATCTTGTAATTTGTAATTTATTTCAAGGATAGCCCCTTGAGATGCATCATCTCATTTTCAAGGGGGTCCTTACAAAACATAAATTAAACATCATAATACAAGATCTTGTCGTGTGATCTTGTAGTTCTCCTGTGATCTTGTAGTTCTCCTGAGATCTTGTAGTTCTCCTGTGATCTTGTAGTTCTCCTGTGATCTTGTAGTTCTCCTGTGATCTTGTAGTTCTCCTGACGGACTGCAGCTTGTGGTAATGAAGTGTCAACGCTAAATTCTGAACCCTGTATCACGTGGACTATCAACTAAAGACAATCTGATGTGTTTCCACCGCTCCACAGGTCAGCACAGCTCTTGTTAGTGATCATCTCTCTCTCTCTCTCTCGCCACACAAAGCAAGATCTAATTATTGATCAGTCATTTATTTTGAGCACAGTTCAATATTCTTTCTGGAGTAAATTTACATTATGATAGTCTTTCCTGCCTTTGCTGTGCATTAGTTTTGTTTGAAAATGATTAACCGCATGTCTCTTTTTGACGCCTGCCTCAAATAAAGACTGTGCAATTATTTGAAGGTTTAAGGTTATAATTAAATATTGTAAATGAATATATGGAGACCCAAGGAAGACTAATTAATAGGGACTGTCCGGATCCAATCCGTGATTATCAATGTACACAGCTTAGAGAAATATGTCGCAGCCGTATGATGTGCAGATTGTCTTCTGAACTGAATAAATACTTTTACACAATTTTACATTTGTGTGACCTGTCCCTCTAAATGTTATAATTAGGGTCCGACCTTTGATCTGTAGAGATATACACATTTAATGTGTTGATCCCTCAGTTATGAAACACTTTTATATATAGCGCCCTCTGCTGGTGACAGAGAACAGCTAGTGTAATACTGTATAATGATACTGAAATGAAATGTTATTTGACCGATGAATAAATGAAATAACCCCCCCCCCTACATTACTTCTTCATTGTACTGTCCTCGTCAATTTTTGTTTTGTTTTATGGTTTTATTTTTTGTCAAAGCGTCTTTGGGTTCCTAGAAAAGCGCTATTAAAAAAATATACATATATCATTATAAAATTAGTCGATACTGATCATCACTGGATACTCATCGGCTGGGCTCTCTCTCTTTATTTTTAAATCACGTTATCCTGATGTTATCGTATTGAGATTTTGATATCGTTACTCGTTTCTGTTTAATACAGAAGCTCATGTGAATCTTATTTAACATTTCACTGCACATCTGTATGAGCATGTGACAAATAAAAACCTTGAATCCAAACAAAGACAGGATTACGATTCATTGGATTTTTACTGGAGTCGTATTTTTAAAAATCTGATTTTATTATTCTGATGTTTTTATTCAATTTAAGACAGATTTTCTCTCTTTTCCTCAGCACTGGTTAAAAATGATTCAGTACTTTGCTCTCCTATGATGATTAAAACAACAGAGATGAAATCGATTAACCGACGAGTTATCGATCAAATATTGACATCGAACATTTTGACAGATTGTGTTGCCCGTCACGACTCGGGCTCCCCGGGGCCTTTTCCCCGGCTTTAACCCCTTTAATTACACACATTTTCACATTAATCCAGCCGCTAACCCCGGAATAAACCCAACATTTAAACCGAAACAGGACGAAAAGCAGCTCCTACGATCATTTAATCCAACTAGCTGGCTAGCTAGCTGCTAAAGCTAACTCAGCAAAACATTCAATCCTACAATGTGAAGATAAACTGCAGATAAACAGCTTAATGAAAATCTGTATTTATAGTTCAAAATTGTTGAATAATTCAAAATGTTTGTCTGTGTCGACGTGTGCGTGATTTAAAATCAATAAGAGTGCTAAATTAGCGGCTAACCTCGTCGTAGAAATATCCGAGCTCAGAGGAGGTCCGCCCGACATCAACTCGTTAGCTTCCCGTTAGCTCCTCGTTAGCTTCCCGTTAGCTTCCCGTTAGCTTCTCGTTAGCAGCTCGTCGGCGGGACCTTTCGCTGTGTGTGCAACGATGAAGCTCCGCCGGTTATAAAGTCACTAATAATCTTCGTGATATCGGCAGGAAAAGGGATGAATGTGATCGGAGGGTGGAGGGTTCGTTAGCGGAGCAGGGCGGTCTCTCTGCCGTTTTGCAGTGAACATCAACCGGAAGTGAATAAAGACGCTGGATGACCTGAAAACAAACACGAAATATTTTACGCCTAAAAAAATAAATTAAATTATATATTTTGAAGTTGCTCCAACACAAAAATTACAGCAACATTTCTCCACATTTAAAATTGGTGTTGTTTTTTTAAAATCACTTTTTTATATAATTTTAAGCAATATTATTGAAGTTCGTGAAGGTTGTTTTGGTGTGAAAATCAATTCAAGATCATTTCAAAAGAAAATTTAATTATTAAATATGATATCTAAATATAAAATGTTATAGCTTAATGTTTAATTATCAGTGAGTGCCATGCAGCAACCTCCAGTGTTGAAAATGAAGCTGATGCTGAAGTGTAAAATCCTGCAGTTCCTTGAGTGTCCACTAGAGGCTGAGCTGCAGAAGCACAGGAAGTCACATACACACCCATTCTAAAACGCCGGTTTTTACAGCAGAGATTAATATGTTTACAGCCTGGTTTAAAAAACCAATTAGGTCTGATTAGCTCATGTCTCGATCGACACACACTGTACGGGGGGTGAATGTTTTGATGACTCATCTGTTTCGTTTATATGAAGTAAATGTTAAATGGACTTGAGCTTGTATATTTATTTTCTAGTCTTCTGACTACTCAAAGTGCTTTTACACCACAGGTCACACCTATGATGGCAGAGGCTGCTGTGTAAAGTGCCCATCAGTAGTAGCCATTTCCGTTCATAAACATTTATATTGCCGCAGACGAATCAGCGGCTAGACACATCGGACATGTGGCTGCAGGACCTGGGGATCGAACCCCAACTTTCTGGTTGAGGGATGACCAACTCTACCAACTGAGCTTGGCTGACCCAGTGAGAATAATCCTGATGTGCAGCTCTAATTTTGATAAACGATGAACACATGTATTTTCATAAGGGTGGTTTATTTTAATTGTCTGTATACAGTATGAACAGGAGTTTATATTGATATCCATATGTGTAAATGCAACGTTTCATTACACTTGTTCTCCTCCATCAGCACTGAAAACCTTGCCGTCCCCTTCCCCTCCCCTCTCGCCCCGTCCTGCTCCAACATCCCTGTAACCAAGACTTAAAACTCCAAAAACCTTTAAATATACTGCAAAGATTGTACAGAATATAGAAACCCACACAGTAAACTAAAGTACACAAATATTTTTACTTTATGCTTGGCATAAACCAACACAGAACTTTGAGGCTACTCGGATTAATCTGCTGAGTGTCGACCCGGAGGAGGTTACAAGAAGGTCTCTGAAATCAATTATAAAAGAGTACTTTGTTAAGATTTAAAGCTCAGTAACTAATGCAGCTAGTCGGTGGCAACAAGCAGAATAACGCTTTGAATTTTCCGTGGGGTTAAACTTGGGATACTCTGTGTGGAACTGAAACTAAGAGCGCCTGCATCGTCCTGCAGGCTCGTTCATGGTGAATACAAAAGCAGGTAACATAAGCACTATACAGTTTTACAGAAGCGTATACACACAATCTCTAATATAACAGAGTAGACTATGCCATGAATCAGTAGTCATAAATATAACATTGTGCATGTTCTATTGCACATGTCAAGTGTCTGTATGACATGGTAGGTACGGGTTAGTTACCTAGACGTCATCTGTTTAATACAAAGATGCAACAACACAGATTTCATAGGACACGGGCTATACATTTTCACAAATCCACTTTTTTTCATCTTCTTCTTAGGATGTTTTCCTAAATAAAGCAAAAGCTATAATACAACAGTGATATTAAAGTGTGATAAATACTCATGCACAAACAGATGAGACTACCTAGTATGAGAGAGATACTGCTGCTGTGGGAGCTTCTAAACTGGACGTGAAAAGAAAAACAGAAACACAACGTGAGCGATCAGTAAAAAAAGGCACATGGATCTGGAGGAGCTTACACACACACACACACACACACACACACACACACACACACACACACACACACACACACACACACACACACACACACACACACACACACACACACACACACACACACACACACACACACACACACACACACACACACACACACACACACACACACACACACACACACACACACACACACACACACACACACACACACACACACACACACACACACACACACACACACACGACGACCTTCTGGAAGTTCTCGTCATCTTTCCTCAACGACAGAATCACAAAACAGACGATCACATGCAAGCACAGAAAAGGTCCCACACTCAGGACTAAACTAAATCAAGATCTTCCCACATTTGACGTCTTTTTCATCCTGTTCAAGTTTTTCTCCATGTGTTTGAAATTAAAAGAGTCGCCGGTCGATTCCTGGAGTTTTCTCTTTTACTCAGAAAAGTGTGAGGATGAACAGATTCTTACTGTTTCTAAAAATCATTAAACAAAACTCATGTGTGCATGTTATATTCTACGTATGTGAAGGGGAGGCTGGCACACGCTGCTCTGTGGCTGAATGTCAAGTTTGCTGCTCAGGACTGAACAGCAGCTCGGTTCATGGGATGCAGGGAGCTTCAGGGAAACTCTCGCCCTCTGCGGTGTGCTGGACCGTGTGCTCCTGCAGAGCCGCCAGGTCGACGAAGCGCTCCCCACACCACACACACTTAAACTGGGTCTCCCTGGAGTGAACGCTCTGGTGCTTGGCCAGGTGCTCGCGCTGCTTGAAGCTTTTGTCGCAGTTGGCACACTTAAAAGGCTTTTCCCCGGTGTGGACGCGTCGATGGCGCTGCAGCTCTGACGAGTACCTGAAGCGCTTTTCACAGTCGGGACATTTCAGTGGCTTCTCGCGGGTCGGGTCACAGCGGTGCTGGACGAACTCAGACGATGACACAAAGCGCTTGTCACACAGGGAGCACTTCAGTGGCTTCTCCGTGCAGTGAGAGTTCTGGTGGCGCTGCAGCGTAGAGTTCTTTTTGTAACCTTTGCCGCACACGTCGCACTTGTAGGGCTTCTCCACCTCGCCGCCACATTTGTGTCGCAGCAGCTCTCCTGATTGGCTGAAGGACTTCTGGCAGGATGCACACTTGAACAGACTCTCCATCCCGTGAACCTGCTGGTGGTAGAGCAGGTGGGACGGCTGGAGGAAGCCCTTATCACACAGGTTACACTTGAAAGGGCGATCGGCCGGGTTTTTGTGAGTGCGGCGGTGGCGAACAAGGGCGTACTGCTGCTTGAAGCTCATCTGGCACTCCTCACACTGGAAAGGCCGTTCCTCTGAGTGTGTGCGTTCGTGCTGCCGCAGGTCAGACGGGCGCTTGAAGCTCTTTCCGCAGGAACCGCAGCGGAAAGGTCTCTCCCCCTCAGGCTGACACTGATGGTGCAGCAGCTCGGACGACTCTTTGAAGTGCATCTCACACAAATTGCACTTGAACAGGTGCTCGCCGGAGTGAGCGTACATGTGACGTACCAGGTGAGAACGATGTTTGAAGCTCTTCTCACACACGGCACATTTATACGGCCGCTCGGAGCTGTGGGTGCGCTGGTGGTGGCCAGGTGTGAGGACTGGCTGAAGCTTTTGTCACACGTGTCACATTTGTATGGCTTCTCCCCAGTGTGCACCCTCTCGTGGCGGGTCAGCTCGGACAGATGGCGGAAGGACTTATGGCACACTGAGCACTTGTACGGCCGGTCAGGTGCAGAGGCCTCAAACGAGGGTGGAGACGAGGCACTGATTGCTGCTCCGCCACTGGACGTCTCTCCAGTGGAGGGCTGCTGAGGGTTGGCAGCTGATGAGGTGGGGGTGACATTTCCAGAGCCCGGCCGGTATGTTTTCTCACAGATGGAGCATTTCATGGGGTTGTTTCCGTTGCCGTGGGAATTGTGATGCTGGGCCAGAGAGGTGAGGAGGGAGAAGCCCATCTTACACACACCACACACAAACGGCTTCTGCTCCACCTGCACACACTGATGCTCCAGCAGGTCGGTCGCCTGGCTGAAGATCTTCATACACTGGGTGCACTGGAAGGAGCGGTCTTGGCTCACCATGCACTGGTGTTCATGAGGGTTGGCCAGGTGAGAGATGTCATGGCCACAGGCTCCACACTTGTGCCCTCTCTCGCCCCCTACCTGTAGGGAGGGCTGCTGGGTTTGGACAGAGAGCTGCTGGCCGTGCTGGGGCTGCTGCAGGGAGGTGTCCTGCTGCAGGACCACTCCGTACACTGCACAGCCCAGAGAGTTTTCGGCCCCCGGAGGGAGCGTGTGCACAACAGAAGGCGGAGCCACTGCATGTTGCTGCTGCTGCCACGCCTCCGTCATCCTGCCACTTCTCACACAGGGATTCAAAGCTCAGTAGAGGAATTGTGCTTTCAAGCCGACTGAGAGGGCGGATGTGGTTGGAGAAATGCCAAACGGAGAGTGGCTGAGTGTTAGATCTCTGTTTAGACACAGCCTTTCAGAAAAGTGAGATAACCTAGGAGAAAAATAAAAACAGGAAAATAAATTACGATGAAAACAAATATTGCAATTAGTTAATAAAATGCAAGGGCGGTGATATTAAAGCACAGCTGATGATCTGCTGGTTCAAAAATTATAAAAAGCGTGATCAGAGACAGAAATATTAAATTGTATGTGTTTCCATCTTGGTCAGCTGGGTTACTGTCTCCATTCAGTGTCAAAATAAACTGATACGAATTCATCATGCCCCCCCCCCCATGGGGTTGTCATGACAACAACAAAAAATTAACTCCTAGGCACCAAATATGTGGTGATTTTGTGTTTTATTATTAAAAATGTGTAAATTGTTCAAACGCTGGCCACGTTTAACAATTTCTTCTACACACACATCTTATGACATAGATGTCATTTTTAACGCTTTGGGTATTTCCGATACGATAATCATTAAAATAGAAGCGATTCTCGATTATCGATGATTATTATAGTATCAAACATTTTAACAACCTTTGTTTGTCATGAAATAAAAACTGAAACAAACCTCACATTAACTATAAAGAACACCATTTTAAACGTTTAATCTAATATATATATATATACACAAGTATGTTTAGGATGACTTCGTTGCAGTATTTTCATTCATTCAATGAAACTACATTAAAAAAAAAACAGCGAACGCGAGAAAGGGCAAAAAACCTGAAAAGGGCTTCGTCTATATCCTGAAGCATGAGGTTTATTTCACAGCGTTTGGCGTAAAATGATCTGCAGAAACCTCGCAGGTGGTTCAATGGGCTTAAACGCCTTTCTCTTTCATTTAGGTAACACGTGTAAAACACTGTATGTGTTAATACTGTTAATCATCATCAATCTATGTACAAACCAGAACTGTAAAGTAACAGTGAACGGAAGCTAGCTGACGCTAACCGAAACTACAAAATGGCTCCGTCTACTTCCTGGGACGAAAATCGGGTGCGTATACTTCTCATCATTGTTAATGTGTATTTTTCCATATCTGATGTAAGCGACTCTATCGATTAAGTTACAGGGACACCAATTGTTTTCTTACAAAATGAAATTACATTTACAGCAGACTGATGGATCATTTTTATTCTGTTCTTGGATGTCATCGTTTGAATGTTAGCTTGCTAGCTGCGGTACAGCTAACCGCTAGCTGCAGCTATCGTCACAGTTTTAACCGGACCACCTTTAAAGATAAATATCAGATATTTATCATTATGGGACGAGTGTTTGCCGCTTCTGCCGCGTTTAACATTAAACCCCACAGGTAGTAATGTGAGGCTGAAGCCTGGAGCTTCCATCTGCAGCCCCTCTGATGGATAACAGGCCACAGGACCGCTCTCTGGTGTAACGTCGCAAACGGAGCCCGAGTCAAAGCAGGCCTCCGCGGCGCTGCAGGGACAATCCGCCTCCTGCAGCCGAGCCCCGCTCCCGCGCAAAAAAACACTCCTATTTACAAATACAAACACGATAACTTACTCGAGGGGTTTATCTGCCGCTGTCCGCAGTCTGTACTCGACAACCTTCGGGATATTTGGGACTCGGAGGACCGGCGGTGGAGGGGATGCTGTCGAAGCCGGACGCCATCCTCCCGCAGACGGACGGACACCGGAAGCCGCCACGCAGTGAGCTGTTACCGGGGAGCTTCTGCTGCTACAGCCGCTGTATCCTGGAGGGTCACCCCGGAGCCTAGAAATCACCCGAACGGGAGAGAAATTGCCGCCCGAGACCGTGTCAGTAGGATTCAGATAAACACAAAGGCTAAAAAAGAGCCTGGAAGATATATTTGTAAATGTAGTTCTTCACTTTGACAATAGGGGGCGTGGTTTCGCTCCTTCCCTGCAGAGGATATCACCTGCAACCGTTACTTTCCCTTCACACACCGGCATAAACATGTGATCAGATACCGTTTAAACACTCTGTAATAAGTGTATCAAATGGTGACAAATGTCCTCTGAATTATTATAAACACATATTATTATATCAATGACGTGATGGAGGTGTTAGTTTAAGCACCATCTCTCCGGTGGGTTAATAAAGAAGATTTCAGAGACGGTCTTCTAATTTCCTGCTTTTCTATCTGACCATGAACTACTCCTGAATGTGAATACAATAAATATAATCTTGTGTCAGCATGCAGCGACCTTTTATATCTATCCATATATATATATATATATATATATGTCTGTCTGTCTGTATCTTTACCTGTCAGCAATTTATGATAATTAAATAACGATGAGAAATGATGAGAAAAGTCCATCCTCTCCGTCTTTTTCCTGCTCCACTTTTCAGAAAATGTGTGCTCAAAGAGGCCGTTTGGAGATTTTCCCTTCATGACATCACAAAGGACAGTAGCCCCTCCCCCTGGTGGGTGACACTCCCACAGGTGTTTGTTCTGCCCTTCTCACACTCACAAGTCCGCCTTCTCACTGTAAACAATAGGACATGGAGCGAGAAAGCCTGAGACACCCAAGCCCTTCCAGAGAGGGGGCGTGGTCAGACACAGCTCATTTACATATTTAAAGATACAGACACAGAAACAGCCTGTTCTGAGCAGGGCTGAAATAGAGGGGTTTATAGACATGATCAAATACAGGATCAGAGTGGATTTAGAACAAGAAACTTCACACACATGTTTTGAGGAGCTCTGAGACTTATTTAAACTGATGAAGAGGATATGTGACTAAACTTAAATGAAGTAATTATCTTACATTGGGTCTCCAGGAATTATTTTTATTTCTGTGGTATCAAAACAGTTATTGATATTGTTTGATTTTTACCAGAGTTTAAACCTTAAATTCAGTTTTCATGTTAATCTGTTACACGGTGTACGAACAGCACGTGAGCGTTGAATATTGCACATGCTCGCTGTCCACACTGCATCCGGTAAATATTAAGTTCTCTGCTCAGTGAATTTCAATTTCCCCTTTATTAGAATATAGTGGTGCTTTTACTTTGAAAGTCAGTGTTTTCCCCTATATATATATATATATATATATAAGTATCCCAACTCCAAACCATGGATAACTCCCCAACTAAGACAGAGCCTAAAGGAAAAGGACTGGGAACGCCTAAAACTGGCAAACAGAACAATAAAAAATGAGGTTTTCAAGGCAAAATTGAAATTCAAAGACAAACTGGAGTCTGAATTTGCCAACATGAACACCAAGCAGGCTTTTCAGAAAGTCAAAACTCTCACCGGGTGTGAATCCAGAACCAAAGTAGGTACAATAACTGACCCAGCCTTTCTTCTTTATATCACAAGCTGGTTGTGATACGGCGCACTGCTTCGTGCTGGACGGCTCGCAGGCTGTTAGGACACTTCAATAGTAAACAATAAAATCAAGCTGATTTTGTCGCTCACGCTCGTATGGCCAGCTGTTGGACACCCTGTAAGATTTGTGTGAATTAGTTTATGAATTCTGAAATTCTGCTATGAACCCCTCATCATTTCTTTATTTATTTTTTAACCTTGTGACCTTGTTCAGATTGGTTCATCCAATGCGGAAACCTCCGGTGATGAAAGATGAAGTCAGTGTGGGGTTGCAAAAGAAAACTGCAGTTCCTAAGGTGTCCTCTTGAGGCAGTCTGCAAAGTACCATCTAAATTGACTGACATGTGGGTGTGTTCGCTGTTTGCTGGCTCCACCTCTTCGTCTGTTTCTAGATTGATCTAAAATTACATTAAGCATTTCAAACATGGTGACCGCCATCGTCAGGCTTCATAACTCCCCTTCAGAAACTAATGATGACGTCACTGAGACTACGTCCATGTTTCATACAGACACCAGCTGTGCTGTAACCATATTATATATCATATATTTTATAAGTGGGCGTGCTGCCTTCACTGCTCTGATTGTTACAGTGTGGACACGTTCGAGAGCTGCTGAATAAATGAGTGTTCCTGTGAACAGTCCATGTTCTCACCTGTACAGTCTACCGTCTTCAGCTCAACTCGTCACGGCTCTTCCCACAATGCTTTGCAGCATTTGATGATCAGTATTAACTAACTAATCCATTGCAGCTCGTTAAGACGTTAATGCAGCGTCTACCTTAATATTTTGAAGGGCCCAGGGGTGTACCCGGATGGGTGGCATCGTCCCCCGTTGAAATCTTATTGGCCATCCAATGTGCCACCCCAAAATACTTAACAGCTGATTGGCTATTTGAGAGGCGGGACTTAAGTTGAAATCCACAATTCAGGCTGTGTTTCAACAGGCCACTCGTAGTGTTCAGTGATCAGATGTTAAAGTTTAAATTGAGACTTTGGACATACATCTTGTTTTGAGTCCTTGAAGAATGAATGCTTAGAACCTTGGTTCTCAACTGGTGGGTCGGGACCCAGAGGTGGGTCGCGGAGCCATTTCCAGTGGGTCGGGAATGTGTGCCTGGAAATAAACTTGTGAAAAAAGTCTGTGAAGCCACGTTTGTTTTGTTCAGTTTCTTGCTTCTGTTACATGTTTTGTACTGACTGACGTCCAAACTTCACAATTTTTCAGTAAATAAATCTGAATGGTCAAAAAAATTTGGGTCACGATTTCTCTTGGAGGAGTTGGTGGACGAGTTTAGAACCATTGGCTTAGAAGATGTGTTGCTGTTATCTTGTGTTACTTAAAAGTTGATGTGATGAGTGCATACGCTGGGTCGAATAAACGTTCTTCATTCATGTGTGCACAGACTCAGGCCACCCCTGCTCAAGTCAGAGCCACATTTGGACCACCCCAGTCCAAAAAGTCTGGACACGCCCCTGTTAGGGCCCCAGATCAACCCGTTATCTGAACAGTGTTTTTTATAAACTGTGACTCAAAGGTGAAAAAAAGAGACCAAACGGATTAATTTCAAACATTTCATTATTTTCTCCACATTAACTTGGAAACAACCTCATAAACCAAAGAGTAAGAAAGAGCATGCTCGGGCATGCAATGATGTCACAACATGATGATGCCACTGGGTGCGAAGTATAAAACATACAGTAGCAGAGTTTCTTTTGATCATTCATAAACCCACGGAGAGTTAGAAGCTAGCGTTTATTTTACACCGCTCTCCTCGTCTCACGTCGCCTTGTGTTGCTGGATTAAAGAGACGAGAGGGAGAAACTCACAAACTGACACCAGATTGAGCAGGCTGAACAAACATGCTGAAAAAAATCTCATCCGGCCCAAAACGTGTCTGGAAATGACACCGTAGAAACCCCGTTTTTCCCTTTTTGACTGGTCCAAAAGGGAGAGAAAAGGGGGAGAGAGACAAAACAGTGCATGCCATTTCAGGGTGGGGGGAGGGGAAGGGGGAGGGGGGATCTGTGGGTGGGTGAGGAGGGTGGGAGGTCATCTTTCTTATTGATAAAGGTCAGTTGTCTCCTCTCGGCCCACGTGTGGGGGGCAGGGCTTAAAGCGACTTTAAATGAATAGATACGAGGCACTCTGCATTCTCTCTGTTTGCAAACTGCAGAAAGTAACAAACTGTAATAATAATAATAATAATAATAATAATAATGACACATACACGTATATATTAGAATCAGTGTTATAACATAACAGTCTCAGGCTGTACAAAGGGGGCGGGGCTTATCCTCCTCACTGTGTCAGCAGGTACATGTGTGTGTGTGAGTTTTAGCGTGCGAATGTGTGTGTGTTTGTGTGTGTGTGTTCACTAAATAACTTCCTCAAAGGTCACACTCCTCTTTGTGTGTGTGTGTGTGTGTGTGTGTGTGTGTGTGTGTGTGTGTGTGTGTGTGTGTCGGCCGGCCGCTGACGTTTGGTTCAAAGTTTGATTGGATGATTTGATTTGATGGCGGCGCTGATCTCCACTTCAGCGCCGGGCGACAGGAAGTGATGATCAGAGGATTAACGGTGATGTTAAAGGGTTAAAAACGTCGTTTTAAAGCCCACACAGCCTCATGCAATCGTTGTGTGTGTCTGTGAAGTTCTTTGTGGGAAAAGAAAGAATCATGACGGAGCCCTTTAAAATGGATCTACTCTGCAGCATAGTTCTGTATGTAGCGCATAGTGCCGATAAGGGTGGAGACTGGAGGGAGGGGCTAACATGGAAAATGGTTCAAAGGCTAAAGGGTTCAGGATGGAGTGTGTGCACCATGCTATACGTTAGCATGTTAGCAGGAAACAAAGTTTTTTTTATATACTCTCGTCTAAAATGATGGAAAAATAGGAAGAACCGCCTTGTGTCATCTCCAGGAGGAGCCGCTGCACACACATGCAGATGTGTCCTGAGACTCCGCCCTCTTCAGAGCGGCACACTCCACTTTCTTCTTCTGTGGTGGCAAGCTGAAAATAAGCATTTGAAAAAGGAAAGTGCTCGAACAGAAGTGAGAAGACGAATACGTAGCAACGATAAAAGGCTCTGCTGTGTCTGTCGCTCGGCTGCGGGCTCCATGTCCGTCTCAGTACGTAACAATAATAATTTAATATACCGTAGTTATCAATAAGTCTTATAGATCATACCTGTATAAGCTTAAATAAAGAAGTGAATGAAAAGAATGGCTACTCCAATATTGAGTAAAATGACCATAACCACCAGAATAGAGCTGGAGCCCTGAAAGACAAGAGAAGAAGAAGAAGAGGAACAGGAAGTTAGTACAGGAAGTATGAAATCTGTGTAGTTTAAATGTCAGATAAGAGAGAACTACAGATCCGTACAGGAAGTGTAACCCTCAGCATGCAATTCATCAGAATTCAAAAAACAGAAATTATCTCGCCAAGGACTTCTACTTGTGCTGATGTGATAGCAAACATCAATAAAGTTTTATTTTACAAGAATCATATCGAAG